TAAGCTGAGACAAGAATCACGGTCACAACTACTTTCTAACATGGTAATGAAAAAGAGAAGAAGATAAGAAAAAGAAAAGGTGATGAATATGAGGGAGGAAGCAGTGCTTTGAATGCAAAGAGAGAGAATAATAAGGTATTCTTTTCCATCAGCGGGTGGTTGTGTGGTATTTATGGCTTTATGATCAATGAGTAAAACCTAAAATATTTTTTAATCATGTGACACAATATTATCGGAAGTGACAGAGTTAAGGATATCATTTTAAACAGGTGATTCATATGAGTATAACAGAAAATACATTTTAGTAAAAAATAAACAAATAATTACAGTATACTATAGTCATAAAATATCTAGATTATATTTTATTTATATTAAATGACCACTGGATATAAAGTATTTTGGTAGGAACATTTCTAAATAATTTAAACTCATTCTCCTAGTAATTCACTTAATATTTAATGAAGTAAATTTCAGATGAAAAATCATATGTTCCACTATATTGAGATATATAAAAACATCAAAGAAATTAGTTACCATCTTTAATAGTTACAAAGATAGTTATGGGCACGTGATTTCGGGGAAGAGAAGAAGTTGAAGCTTGTTAGTCTAGTTACTGTTATTACTTACTGCATGGGTACTTAGTTTCTCAGTTATTTTCCTTGGGTTTTAGGAATAAGAATGGCACGTGAATAGGTTGCTTTGGGAAGCTGCATCTATTGTCTCAAAAAGTGTATCACTTCATATATTATTGATTAAAAAATATATATATTTAAATTAAAATATTAATAATTAAATATTTTTTGATAAATTATAGAAGTGATGGTACAAATTTTGGGACAAAAGATTTTGGGATGAGGTTGAGGCCTGAGCGTGTGGGTTCAGAACCTGTTTTCTTTTTAGTGATTGAAATTACAGAAAGAAAAGTATAAGAGTTCAGCAAAACCTTCTGTGGTCAACCCTGTTTCTGCACGTCTCCACCATCCTCAAACTATGGTTAATCAAGTTTTTTAAAGAAATTATTTTTAAGCATAAAAAAAATGAATGTCTATGGAATTCTTAATTTCTTATCTTCTTTTATTTATTTACTTTTGAATATAATTGAGCATATAAAAAGGATTAAAGAAATACTAAGTAATAAAAAAGTCATCAAAGTGTTTATAGCCTTAGGATTTAGTGTTGATGATTTTTGAGTTTTTTTTTATCAGATGTTGATTTTTAATGTTTTACATTATTATCTGAAAGAGTTGTCATATTACCATTAATTAGTAGTTTAATGATAATTAACCATAAAAATTCACATATAAGTAGTAAGAATAAAATAAACTTTCAACATTTCAAGCAATCAAGTGATATCAACACTGAATACACTAATTTATAGTTAATAATAAAATGTGACAATAGTTAAGTAGTTATTTATTTTAATTTTCTGACCTGGTAAGACTCTTTTCTGACATTGACATAATTCTCTAGAAAAAGTGTATGATAACATTATTTTCTGGTCACCTGAGAAAAGCTTTCTCTAAGGCATAGATCATGTAGGTAAGAAAACTAAGCATAATAAACACACAGGGAAAACTAGATTCACATCTATTAAAAATAAGTGTTTAGTTTATTAATAAATTAGCTGAAAGGTATTTATTACGCATAATCTAGGTACCACATTTTAATGCATTATTTTTCATCCAAGCTCATAAGGGGAAGAGAAAGTGAAAATTTTGGAAAAATACACATTGAAGATTAGAGAAATTATATTTCATGTCACACAATATAATTCAACTTTCTTTATGGTGAGAGTATTTTGATACATTTTAACTAACTAAGAGTTGTATACTTATTTATTTACACTTAAACTCATTTCCCACTGAATCCCCAAATATCAGATAATTGACGAGTAATATAAAATCTTACTAGATCCCCAAATAGACCAAAAAATAAATGGTTCGATTTACGATAACACCATTGGTTATAGAAAAAAAAGAAGCAAAATCGACAGAAACAAAACATGAACAGAAAAGATAATAATTTGATAAACAAGAACCACAATTGAGAGATGATAAGACCATGCAATGCCTGTAGATGCATAGACAATGAATGATATTGTTCAACCAAATATGAATATCTATAGATTCCAATGCTTTAACAAAGTTATAGAGGTTGAGTTCATTTTTGGACACAAGTACTAACAATAAAAAACATTGTAAACAGTGGTGGGACATATAGGTCCCAATTTAATGTAAGTGGTAGTGACTTGAGATAAAGTTAGTACTAGTAATGAAGCTATTGAGTCTGCATGGGAATCTTTTTATCCCACAAATTTTTTTCTTTCTCTGTTTATGCCACTCACGTTCTATATAGGCCAACCCAAGTTCTTTCTTCCACACATTCAAAAATCTATAAAGGAACTTGTCTTTGTTATTTTTCATTGATCATTGATAATGAATATGATACAAGACATGACAAGTAATAAACCTTTAACCTATAATGTTTATTTTTCTTTCTTATGGTTTCCTTTTCTTTTATTATACTAAACAAGGTCTTATAGAAAGTAATATAATGTATAGTTAATATGGGCTTTTTGTTAAGTTGTTTAGTAAATATAATCATTGAAAGAGAGAGTAAAACTTCATATTAGTAATTAAAAAATAGTATCACTATATCAAGTGAATTTTCTATGGAAATTAAACGAAGATGATTAATTTATTTTAAATGTAATTAGTATTTATAGCCTGTCTTTCATGAGCTATTAGTTATGAATAAAATAAATGATATTTTATAAAATGAAATGTATGTGATAAATATACAATTTTAAACTTTGGAATATTAACTTAATCCATCAGTGATATGTCACTTAATACAATAAGAAGGGTTGGATTGTTAGAGACTATTTAGATATTCTTAAAACTGTTCAAGCTGCATAGACAAGTCATATTAATGAATAGAAATGTTTTATGCTGGATCTCTTTCTTTAAGAAGGACTTGTGGTCCTAAACCATGTCCCAAATCCTATCCATAGCAATGAACATAGTCCTTAATTATGATTTCCTATGCAATCAACATAGTACAATATTTCTTTTTTAACCAAACTACTTCTAATTCTTAGGGTCTATTTTCTGATGGGGAACTTCAAAATCATCTCACGAATATATTTCATAACTGTTAAACATTTTCTTAACTGTTTAATTCTTATTTCCCTGTATATGCATGAAAGTTTTGAGCAAAGAATTAATTTTTGTTTTTTTTTTTTGCAAAAGTTAAATAATTATTTGATGTAGCGAATGACTTGAGATTTTTGCAAATCTTTTGGTCCTGCATAAGTTCTATGTTTGATATCATTTGGTGGATGAAGTTGTTTCATGGAAAATTACACAAATTCTGAAAAGAAAAAGTTGTGCAATAATTTTGTGGTCCTATTTTGTTTTTCCTTTATTCTTTTTTGGGATGAAGATAAGTGATAAGTAACAAATAATTCTTATAGGATGTACGTACTCTAGAGTTGTCTTAGGTTATATAGCTACCCATTAATTATTTTATGATTATCATTATGTTCTCAATTAGTTTATTTCAATGAAGGTACATTTTTCTATTTTATTAGCAAGAAACAAAATTTCCTATAATTTGACTATTAATTATTGATTAGGATAAAGAGGTATATATGTTAAAGATAAAGAGATAGTATATTATATTTATATAAACATGTGTAGGACTATGAGCAAACTAATGAATTTGACTTCTTTATTTTATAAAAAAATTAATTCAAAATTCAAACTATACATTTACATGGACAAGTTTGCTATATATAGGTGAATGGGTTTGCATAGATTAATGTAAGTTGGTAATGGAAGCTAAAAAATAATAATTGATTTGAAGCCAAAAAGAAGGTTCCATAAATTAAAAAATTTCCTAAGGTAAACCATATTTGGTAACAGCCAAAGTGCCAAAGAGTATGAGTAGTTGGACCCAATAATTGAATTGGGTGATGATCGTAACAATTCACTGCAAAGGGTAGACAAAATAATGAGCTAAAAGACAATATGGTATCTGCTACTAGATCTCACTTAGCAAAACAAAAACATGTTACAAATCAATTACTTTGGGCTCAAACTTCTAAACTATTTAGTGCCAATAAAAATATATAATGTGAATTAAAAAAATTAAACATTCATTATTGTTAAGTACAGAGATAATTTGATACAATAAATCTTTCTTCAGGGTACTAATGACAAATGTATTGAGTGGCTGATTCTAATTTTATTTTGAAGAGATTTGTGGTCCAAGTTTTAACTTGTTTTCTTTTACTTGTTTCAGAATTTGTCATTTTTAAAGCAACTATTTAAGGTTTTATCACGTACCTTATGTACAGGTTTCTACAATATGATTGGGGACTTCAAAATATAAACCTTATACCTTAAATAATGAGGTTATCAGTAGGGTGGTGATAAATCTGTTATCCCAAATTGTGTCATAAAACTATATTTCAAACAATAGAGTGTCGGACGTTCTTTTGATTTTATTAAACATATAATGACAACTTAAACTCATTAATGTTTGTACTTTAAATCATTGTTTATGTCTCTATTAATTATAAACTCATTAATGATGTACAAGTTTCGAATCTTGAGAGTAACACTTATGGGAGAGACAATCACGCGATAGAAAGATAGAGTTCTCCCATGCTTCTAATGAACAAAGACATATTATCCCAAAACATTTCCAAATTCTATCCAACACTAAGATTTGGGACATGGTTTCAAATATCATATAGGTGATAGCTTCTACTTTGCCATGCAATAAATTAATTTACAGTGGCTTGATTGTGAATGTTGAGGCATAGTAAAGATCATATTGTTAAATATTTTTAAGAGGCTTATTGTTAAATATTGAAGCATTAGTAATTTTGAAAATGCTAGGAAATACACTCTAGTATAGCAATGGAGGAATAACTATCAAAATTCATAAATATTTAGGACCTCAAAGGAACATTAGAAAAAAATAATTTTGGCATTCAAAGTTGTAGTACAGTAACAGCAAAATCCTACTGGATGAAATCCACTACATGGATTTTCTTAATCAAGAAATTAATGAAATATGATATACTGCATTTTCTCTGATAATCATAGTTCAGTTGTAGAAGCTACATTGCAAAACAAGAGTGATCAGAACCTTAGGTAAATGAATCTAGATGCTGGGGCTCTTGTAGTCTAAAAACAGCATAGCTTAGCTTTTCCTATATGTCAGCTTGATCAAAACTGTAATCTGATTGTTGGAGCCTGTTGCTGGCTAATCTGCTCATCATAGCAAGACCTAGTTCAAGGAAGAAGAGATCCAGTTACATCAAATATGAACATAAACCACATTACTAAACATAAAATTCCTTCTGAAGTTTTACAGAAAATTTATTTGAAACGCGAGCCTGTAATCGACACCATAGTTTGCAAGATAATCCAAGACTAATGAATTGTAAATTTTAAAAAGAAAATCAAGCATACACTTCCATTACAAACCCAATTGGGGTTACTTCATTTTGGTCATTGAAATATATGCTTTTCTTTGGGATATAATATTTGTTATTTTTCACTCACTTTGCTATAAACCATATCTACCAGGATTGCTTTTATTTTAATGTTTTAGGATGTAGAAAAAAAGGGTTGGAAATAAGGATAAACATGAACTGTGTCTCTAAAATCATTTTGTATTTGAGTAATTCTGCACATGAAGGCTATGCAAGAGATGGCACAAAGGTATACCTTCAATCATCTTGTAAAGTGATGACCACCATCCATCTGGGGATATTTGGTGTTCGTCTAAAGATTTCTCAATTTCTTTATCATGCTTCCTTTCCAAAACCCTCTGCAAAGTGATCACAGCATCCTTTGTCTTCTTGAGAATACTGTTTTCATCTTCTATTTCCAGCTTTTGCAGGTCATTCTGTGATGAGGTGAGACTGGAAGCAAGAGCAAATTGGGCAGCAGAAGCCCAGCCGGAAGAAGCCATCCATTTCCTATGGTCATCTAGAGGCTTGTTTTCTCGTCTTTCTACCTTGTCCCCACCAATTGCCAAGCTGCGTAAGTATTGGGCGTTTGCAGCTCCTGTACTCTGCACCATCTTAGAGAAAGCACTGCCTTCATTTGATAGCAGCTCACCAGGGGTATCATATTCAAGAACCTTCATTAAACATAAAAAACTAGCATCAATTTCGCATTGAATCAAACCAGCATCAGCTATGACTGTTCAAAATTTTAATTTTCCTAAATACAAATTTATTTTACCATTATTCTTTTCAGCATTATATTTTTATATATTGGAATTGGATACACATTATCATCAACTTTTGTGCTTAATGAGGGAACCGTCCCTAGGAGGTTGCCTGTAGTTAAGTGCCAGTTCAGGTCTTGAAATTTTGATTTTTTGTCTGTGGTAATTTAAGTACATATTTTACCGAACGAAACTAGTTGTAATATGGTTTTCATCCATCCTGATATATAAGGTTCTATCATGTTGACTACAGACCAGTAAAGAGCTAATAAAGATGTGACTTTGATATAGCTAACACCAGTATCAGAGTACATGAGTTAGCAAGCTCCATTGTTTAAACATTGACTGCATACCTTACCAGCATCGAGCAAAATAATTCGATCACAGTCAATAATGGTGTTAAGACGATGAGCAATAATGAGCATTGTACAGGATTTAAATTCCTCTCGGATTGTTTTCTGTATGAGTGCATCTGTCCTAACATCAACTGCTGCAGTTGCCTCATCAAGTACTAATATCTTTGATCGGCGCAATAATGCCCTGGCAAGACTCAACAGTTGCCTCTGTCCAACACTGAAGTTCTCCCCTGCCTCAGATACCTTAACACAGCACACTTTCATTAATAAATACCAGTTTCAGCAATGATAATCGTATCTGGAAGAAAATGCAGGACAAATCACTTTTCCTTCTAAAGCATATTCACAATACTGTGGATATTTAGATACTACCCCCCCCCCCCCCCCCCCCCCCTCACAATTAAAGAAGACCTAATTTAAAGAGTAAGGAAATGCATAGTGGGAGGACCAATCACCCTCCAAAAGAACTAACCCCCTAACTGTCACACACTCACAATTCGTGTCCCGACGCTTAATCAACAGAGGTAAGTCTAGGGGACTAAGGCATACTTCTTCAATCATTGTAATTATATTCACAGAATCATAATGAAGATGGACATAAAAGCAAAAGGAGGACCGATACAATAATCATCAAATTCAGTTACATAAATCAAGAAGGAAATTACTTGTAGGTATGCCATTAACGATAAGTAAAAAATACCATCATTTCAATTGACAACACAATCATATCTCTATCTAGAAAAGCACCGTTTAGCATTTACCTCAGCATCCAGCCCCAAAGAATTCCTACGTATCACTTCCTTCAAGTGTGCCCTCTCCAGAGCCTCCCAGAGGTCAGCATCATTGTGTTCATTAAAAGGATCAAGGTTAAATCTCACAGTTCCTATAAAAAATAAGACGGACTTAGTATAATTGTAAGCCATTATTTGACTTTTTATATTTCAATTACCTCTTATGATATCAATCCAGAAGTTAAAAGGTTCTTATCTTCCACAACTCACAATTTAATAATTATAAAAGCAGACAGAATAAAGATTAGCCATTTTTTGATAGGCAAAAAGATTAGCCATTTAATATTGTCTAAAAGAAATATAATCAGGAAACATTTTTTACCTTGATATAATCACTTAAGTTCTTAGGAGCAATGGTTTATAATTTTTACTAAAAGTTTTTTCAATCAAGTAGCTCACTCACCTCTTTGTAATAGATTGTTTAGGATCTTTCATAGTCATGGATCAGCTCTATGGACTTGCACATTGTTCTCCTTACTAAGTTTAGAGGTTTTGGCACATGTAATGATGCCAAATTTGTGGCAACGTTCTGTTTTTGCTATCCTTTCGTGTATTTGGTTGGAAAAGGAACAACATTTTCAATGACTCCTTTTTGCCTCTTTACATAGTTTGGGAAAGGATGGCATTTTTTGGATTCCCTTTGGTGCTTTGCACATGGTGTTTGGGGTGGTGTTTTTATGGTAGATATGCAAAGAGACTGGCATGCTTTGTTGCATACCCTATTCCTTAGTTTTTGGATGTTTCTCTTTGTTGTATGTGAGAATGTTTTATCCTCTTGTAATATTCTCTCTTCTCTAATTATCTTTAATGTAAATATATTTTATCCTTAATCATTTTCTGATTGGATTATTTATCTCCTGCCAAATGGAAACTAAAGTAACCAGTGACGTGCATTAATAAATTTATCATGATTCATGAGTGCATCAATCATTCATTAATAAAAAAACCATGCTAAAACTATCATAAAAAGATAGTCCAATGCACCAGCATCTCACTTAGTGGGGTCTTGGGAGGATACATGTACGCAACCTTACACTCGCAAACGATGAGACTGTTTCTAAGATTTGAACCCATGACCTCCAGGTCACTAGGCAAAGCAATCTCACTATTGTACCGAGACTTACTATCTACTAATACTTAATCATACCTCTCGTACATTTTCTTCCTTTATAAAAATATAAAGTATAAATCATGTACTGAAATACAATAAAAAGAAAGTCCAGTGCACAGGGCTCCCACCTAATGGGGTTTGGGGAGAATAAATATACTAAAATTCAACAGAAAAATATATTTTAATTACCTGAGAAGAGAACGGGAGATTGTGGTATAATTCCAAGAACTTTACGTAAATCAGCCAGACCAAACTTTGCAACATCACAATCATCAATCAATATCCTTCCTCTTTCCAATTCCACAATTCTAAATAAAACATTAAGCATGCTAGATTTTCCTGCTCCTGTCCTCCCAACAATGCCAACCTTATCACTAGGAAAAATTGTGAAAGTCAAGCCATGCAGAACAGGAGGAAGTTCAGGCCTGTACCGAAGAACAACATCTTCAAATCTAATTGATCCAGATGAGGGCCACCCAGAAGGAGGTCGACTATCATCAATGATTGATGGAGCCTCTGAAGGCAAATCTACATAGGTGCCAATCCTCTCAACTGCATTTAAACTATTCTCTGCCATACTTGCAAGCCTGAGCACAGAAGTCAGCAAAGTAGTAATATTCAAAGCATAACTAAGTAGCAATCCCATAGTTGATGCAAATTCTTGCTGATTCTCTGCCCTCCCATTCTGCAACACAGCAAAGGTTGCAGTAAACCATACCATGATGCCTCCCAAAGTTTCCAAGCGGATTGAGAGCCATCGATTTCCACTCATGTTCACAAGAGTGAATCGTATGTTGTTGTCCATGGAATCCCCATTGATAGAAGCCATTCGATCATAAGCTTTGTAAGCACGAATTGTTGATAGACCATTAAGTGCTTCTCCAAATTGTGCATAAACAGGAGATCTGCTAATTGAATCTAGCCGCTTCACTTCACGGGCTGTGCTCTAAAATGAATAAAATATGATGACATAAGTTTATACCCATTTAATTTCTCACAAAAAAATAATGATTTCCACTACATATCTATGGGAAAACTGAGAAGAAGAAAAATCAAGGTAAATTCTTTCAGAATTCTGAAGTGGTTAACAGTTCCTAAACTAGAAAACATAGTTACCAAAATTTTTGTCTCCCTTTTACTAACAAGTGCCCGACACTTGTTAAGGAAGCCAAAATAAGAAGTTTTAATGAAAAGGTAAAGTTATTTCAACTTCCAATGTGTAGAATGCTTTGATTTCATTTCAAACCTCCTATTTTGACTTCCTTAAGAAGTTAGAAGACCTTCTTTTTTAAAATAACAAAGTATATTAGATAAGATACACAGAAGTGGATAAGATATCCTCACAAAGAATAAAAAGAAACCAGTAACCTAGGAGATAGAGCTATACAACAAAGCATATCAATCACTTTGCATATCTACCATAGAAACCCCACAAAAACTCATGGGCAAGCACCAAAGGAATGCCAAAAGAATGAGCTTATCGCCAACAAAATCTAATGAGAGAAAGTTTCACCAAAAAATATACAGTTCTCTTTGGACCATAAACATAAAATTACAGCGAAAACCAAACACTGCCACAGAGCTTTGTCAGCAATAATCAATATAAGGGTAAAAAATTAAGTGCATCAGTATAGTATCCTTCACTAAATCCATATTTATGTGCGGCAAAGCAACAACAATAATTACATAAGGTAGACATGCTTGTTTATACTAAAAACAATTAGACCAACTTCATTCACAGTACACATGATTGCTTATACTATAAAACAATTAGACCAACTTCATCCACAGTTACTAACAGCCTGATATTAAATCTTAACCAAGCTATCAATTTAGATTTAATATGTTTATTATGCTTGATCATTTTGTTTCACCTGATAACTGGAACCTAAGTTTAAGCAATGTCGGACTTAATCAAATCAGTACATTCTATTATCTTTCACTGGATACTGTGTAGGGTTTCAAAAAATTAAATGGGAGTAAAAGCAATAATACAATGTTTATACCTGATAGTACAGATACGCGCCATAAAACACTATTAACAATGGCAATATCGCCCACAGGGACATTGTGCTGACAATCCCTATCAGGATGAATGTTGAAAAGAGCAGGGATAATTGACCCAGAAACATATTCACAAATGGGGCAACACTACGATCAATGTCACCTAGATCCTTTGCAAACCTGTTGATAATCCTTCCAAGTGGATTTGTTTGAAAAAAAACCATAGGAGCTCGTAATATGGAGTGAAGCATGGCTTCATGCAACTTTCGGGCAGCACGAAGACTTGATACGATTAACCAATAAGAATTTGTTAAAGTCACCATAACCTGAGAGAACGTGATAAGGACAACTCCAAATTAATTTCTTCCATAGATAAAATTTGATAAAATGCAAGCAATAACAGTAATTTGACCTCTCGTGTAAAATGGAAATCAGACAATAATAAGAAAACCGTGATGTAGAAAAAAAAATGAACTGAACTTGCTATTTTATAATAGACTTATACCTGACCAAAGGCTAGAGCTGCATAT